AACAGTCAGTGTCCAACAGTCAGTGTCCAACAGTCAGTGTCCAATAGTCTTTGACTAACAGTCGGTGTCCAACCGTCTGTGATCAACAGTCAGTGTCCAACAGTCAGTGTCCAACAGTCTTTGACCAACAGTCAGTGTCCAACAGTCAGTGTCCAATAGTCTTTGACTAACAGTCGGTGTCCAACAGTCTGTGATCAACAGTCAGTGTCCAACAGTCAGTGTCCAACAGTCTTTGACCAACAGTCAGTGTCCAACAGTCAGTGTCCAATAGTCTTTGACTAACAGTCGGTGTCCAACAGTCTGTGATCAACAGTCTTTGACTAACAGTCGGTGTCCAACCGTCTGTGATCAACAGTCAGTGTCCAACAGTCAGTGTCCAACAGTCTTTGACCAACAGTCAGTGTCCAACAGTCAGTGTCCAACAGTCTTTGACTAACAGTCAGTGTCCAACAGTCAGTGTCCAACAGTCTTTGACCAACAGTCAGTGTCCAACAGTCAGTGTCCAACAGTCTTTGACCAACAGTCAGTGTCCAACAGTCAGTGTCCAACAGTCTTTGACCAACAGTCAGTGTCCAACAGTCCCCACATTGACACATTCTCAGCTTTTGTTCAGAACTCAGCTGCTAAACTAATGAGCATTTTCCACAGTGTCCAACACCAAACCAGTCAGAACCTCTGCAGCTGTGAGATAAGGACAGATGGTCGTTGTCCAGACTGGGAGTGGGTTAGTCAGTCAGTGAAACAGTCAGTGAGTCAGTGAGTCAGTGAAACAGTCAGTCAGTCTTTCTGTTTGTCTTCAGTCAGTCTTTTAATCTGTCAGTCCCTTCTACAGACGAAACCAGTGAAAATGTGATCTGACACTAGGACAGTTGTCCTGGCTGTGACCCAGGTTTGGTTCCAGTGGTCCAGTGGTCCAGTGGTCCAGTGGTCATGTGGTCATGTGATCCTGTCCTTCATCACTTCTTGCCGTCAGTGTCCTGATGGACTGACAAGGTCCAAATCTGACCACATTATGAAGACACAGTTTGAAGGCATCATGTCAAACCTGTGATGTTACCACAGAGTGAAGCCTGGAGTTTAAGAGTACAGATGGAACAGTCTGCCCCCTGAAGGACAAAACTGTCATTACTCCTGCCGTGGACGTGAGGTTTGATGTAAAGTTAAATAAATGGGAGAGATTTATTCACTGGCCCTCGTGAAAGTCAAGTGTTCTGTTTTATAGTTCAGTAAAATGAACCACAAAATGACTAAAAGGGTTCTGTGGAGGACAGTAAAAGCTGAATTATAGACTCAACCGTTGGGTCGCCCATGGCTCCCTGGTACCAGGCTGGTGCCGGATCCTGGCTGTGGCTGCAGCTGGAGATGTTCTGTTCTGCTGACTGACCCACTTTAGGAAGAAGAATGAAGTCATTTTGTACAAATGTAACTAAATACAAACAGGTGGGAACTTCCAGTCAAACGCTGGCTCCGCTGGAACTTCTCTAATATTAACGTGTTGATGCTTTAAAATTGTATTTATGAAATCTATTTCTCCTCCTTTTTCTTCTCATAATTCCTCTCTGTTTTCCCTCTGGCTCCAGGAACCAGGAAGTTGGAGTACTCAGGCTCAACATGGCACGAGGGCTGCTTCATCTGTCACAGCTGTGAACAGCCAATCGGTTCCAAGTCCTTCATCCCTGACAAGGATTTACACTATTGCGTTCCCTGCTACGAAGACAAGTTCGCTCCACGCTGCGCACGCTGTAAAAAGGTCAGTGATGTCATTGGTTCACAGCGGAAAGATGTCGGTAAAATTAGCTTAGCATTTTAACCTCCTGCCACACACCCCCAATGTGATATTCTTTAAAGCCAACTTCACCCATGACCTCTGACCTTTCTCCTTTCCAGACCCTGGCCAAAGGGGGCGTGACCTACCGAGACGAGCCCTTCCATAAGGAGTGCTTTGTGTGCACTAACTGCACGACACAGCTGGCGGGGCAGCACTTCACCTCCCGTGAAGACAGCCCGTACTGCCTGAAGTGCTTCGGCAGCCTGTACGCCAAGAAGTGCGAGGCCTGCAGCAAACCAATCACAGGCAAGAACACGTGACCGCAACGCTGCTCAGGCGTTACAGAGTACACAGTACAGTACAGAGAACAAATGGTTCTACGTCCAGTCCTTTACTGATGATTATGATGATTATTACTTATTATTATGATGATTATGGGGACGATGATCACTGCCTGAAGCACTGTGCTTTACCTGAGACACCTAGGGGGGTTGTGGAGGTACTGCAGGGGTGTCATTACTTTTGATTGGTTTAAATAAGACCAAGGTCAGGGTCGTGACCCTGGAAGAGCCCTCTGGTCCAGTGGTTTTATTTATTGTTTGACTCTCTGGGTAGAGTTTCCTGTAAAGAAAAAAAGTTAAACATTTGAATCGTCTTTGTCTCCATCTAGGATTCGGAGGAGGAAAGTACATCTCCTTTGAGGATCGTCAGTGGCATCAGCCGTGCTTCACCTGCTCCCAGTGCTCCGTCTCCCTGGTGGGCGCCGGCTTCTTCCCCAACGACGAGAGGATTCTGTGCCGCGACTGTCACACCAACCTATAGAGGGCCTCAGAGAGCGCCTCCTCCCGTCCTGTACGTCCTGGTCACAGCGTTTCCATAAGCTCACATTAACAATGGTAGAACAACACAGGCTAACAAATGCTGCCTCAGGTCTCGTCAGATAAAAAAAAAAGAAAAAGCACAAAAAAGCCTCACTGCTGCCCCCTGTCTGAACACATCCTCAGCCAGCAGCCGCAGTTTGGGAAACCCTGTGCCTTGTTTGTGTTCTATAAAACAACCACTGATTTTCTTTCCTGTTTTTAAATCTTAATTATTGTGTGAATGCAGCTTCCTGCCGTGCCTTATATATAAATATATTTCCTCTTTGTTTTTATTTACCTTTAAACCAAAGAAAATGCAAACTGCTAGTCACTTTGCCAGATTTTTTTGTTTAATATTTTATTTGAGAACTTTGCCACTTCAGGTACACAGAATACCAGCCTTCCAGCCTGTGTGTGTGGTGTATTTACTGTCTTAATGCTCTTTATACTGCAGTTTTTGTGCCTTTTCAATGTTGCTTTCTTCTGTCTTTGACTTCAAGTCTTACTCTGGGCTTCTTTTTTTTTTTTTTTTTTTTTTCAACATCTCGTTGTTTATGATGATGTATTTGTGACACACCGCTGTAAGACCAGACCAAATGTGTCCTTAAATACAATATTTAAACTAATATTTAAACTAGTGCTGGGCAATGATTAAAATGTCAAATTCAAACATTTGAGTTGAAAAGGATTTTCAAGCTTTATTTCAAAAAGTACTGCTTTCAGAACAAAGGTGCAAAAGAACGATTGGTTGAGAATTTCCCTGCGTTTCTGTTCACGTGAGAGCTGCAGCAATCTCAGCCCCGCCCACAATGTTCTCACTGGCTGTTCAACACTTGGCCCGCCCCCTGCATTTTCAATAACACATTTCATTGACATAGTACACAAAAACACCAACAGCCTTGAACGCCTCACACTGCGTCTGCTTGATCTATTTATTGTAACAATTGCCAAAAGTTTTTTGTTTACCAATAAGTATCTGGGTTTTTTTTGTGAACTTGTTATAATGAGAAAAATAAATTATGTCATTCTTTCAGCTTTGATGCAGCTTAGCTGTTAATTGGAGCATCATTAATTAATTGCATTTATTGCATTTACATCAAATAGCAGAATTTGACACGTTGGAGCATCATTAATTAATTGCATTTACATTAAATAGCAGAATTTGACACAATAACTTTTTCCTATTAACAAACAGATATCCAGGTTAGGTTTAGGAACAATTTTTTTTTTTAATTCTCTTTCTCTGTATATTTTCCATCTGTTTACTACATTCACACAGTTATAAAAACTCACAGTACAATCACAGCTATTATACACACCGTCTGTACCAGGACTGTTGTAGCTAACGTTAGCTGTGTTGTTTCTACCAGTATTGTTATAGCTAACGTTAGCTCTGGTGTCTGTGCTTACAGCGACATGTTTATGTGACATGTGGTGATACTGCAGTACTGCAGTGAGGGGGGAAAACAAATCCTTGTTGAACCATTTGCACACCGCTGTGCTCTGATACAAACCTAAACAAACTCTGGGAGCATTACTGCCATCTACTGGACTGGAGTGTGTGCATCAGTTTTACTGTTTAAAAAAAAAAGATGAAAATCTCAGAGCCTAATTTCACTTGTTTGTCTATAATCAATGAATTGAATTTAACCCTTTATAGAGTTCTCGCTCCACATTGTAAACCTGCTGTGAAAACATAAATGACAAGTGAACGACAGAGAGCTCCGGCTCCTCTTTGTGAGGTCTTATTAAATGTATTAACACTGACTGCTGTTTGCTAAGCACTTTTTACACGCAGCGGTCATCGTTAAATAACCATTACTGTGTCATGAGCTCATGGATCTCTGTAGGCTGGTGTTTACTGTTGTAGCCAGACAAAGACCATCTGGTGTTCTCAGAAAGTCTCTCTTGGACAGATCTGTCTCTGTCTCTCTCTCTCTGTATGTGTGTGTGTGCACGAGTGTGTGTGTCAACACACAAACTGTTGTTTATGCTGAGTCGATGTCTCCTTACTAAGACACACACACACACACTCTCTCTCTCTCTCTCCTGTATTCTTTGGTGAAATGTCCTCCTCCCTGCCTCTGTTTCAGAATTTTTTCACCAAAAAAGGAAATGGAAAACTCAGAGCTGCATGGGGGAGGGAGAAAGAGGGGGGTTGACTGGTTGTGAAAGTGGAAGAGAGCGAGAGAGAGAAGAGAGGCAGGATGTTCACATCTGGAGTTACTCCATGGCACTTTTGTTGTGGGGGGGTCAGATCGACTCGTGGCCTCCTATATTAGAAGGTGGAGACTGGCGACGCAGCCCACTTCCCACACGCTTTTTCTTCACGGGGGAAATGTGAGGCTCGCAGTTTTAGCCCTGGAGCTAACTTTACACTCCAGCCTCTACCTAAAAGCAGAAATAAAACGTTTTACACACAATGTGTAATTATGCTGTGACTGCGACGGTACAGCAGTTCTACACGTACCACTGCAGAGGAATGTAACAGTCAAGTCTGTGTGAAGTCAACATAAAACTGGTGAAAAAGGACCGACAAAATAAACAAGAAATGAAAACTCAAACTGTCTTTTGGTGTAAAATCAAATAAATCCAAACTTAAGCACGAGTCTCAATATTTTTCTCAGGATTTCCAAGTAAACTGACCAACCGAACACAATGAGCGTTAGCCAATCAGGGCGGAGGGATCGTAAACAACATCGACATCGCCGACTGTCGCAAATGCTGAAAACGACGAATTTAATTTTATTAAAGGCCAAATTTAAAAAAAAACTTTTTCAAAAGTGCTGAAAAATTCAAAACCAACTGGTATTAAAAGTTTAAGAGAGTTCATAGAAGACACTCCGTAGTCGACCATAAAAACACAACATATCAACCACAGTTTGTCGCGTGTTATACCTTCTGGGCCAAATCGTTAACCAATGTCCGGGCCTGGGGGGGGTGTCGTCATCACGTAAAAAAAAAAAAAAAAAATTCGCGCGTCTAGGGTAATGGAGGCTGGATGCTAACAGTGATTTTCTTTTACCTGTTGCTAAACTTAAACAAACGAAAGAAATAATGACAGAAGTAAGAAAACGGCTTCTATGGATCGTACATCGGCTTCACTAATGTTGGGAGAGGAGACATTATTCTCTGACAACTGACGTTCGCTGTTACCGAACAGAAAGTTCCAGTTACTGACGTTCAACCGGCCTTTTACGAATGAGGGACTGAGCAGCAACACTCGACTTCTCAAGGTGAGCCACGTTTATTGTCAGAACTTAATTGAATTAAGTTTATTTCGCGTTATTTATATATTTTTATATATGTATATAAATTAAATGAAGGCGGAAGTGTGTTTATTGTGAAGTATGACGTATGGAAGGACCGAGTGTCTGTATGCGCATGTCTGTTTTTGCGTGTTGCCAGTTCTCTCTGGAGAAACAAGGGACTACGGCTTTAACCTTTGTTGTCCAAAATAAATCATATTCCCTCTTTTATCTTTATTTTTTCTATTTATTTCCCTTATGATTTAATTGTATAAATCCTGTAATCTCTGCAGAACCTAATAAACGTAAACGAAGTTGGAATTTCACCCTGGCCAATACATTTTTATGGTTTTAAATAATATGTGTAGAGACAACAAAGTACCATAACCATATTACCCTTAATCCCTTAAAAGTGATCAGGATGTTGTCAGTGTTTCATTATCTACCAGTATAAAATATTAGTACAGTAATTTATGGTTATAATTACAAAAACATTTTACTACTGAAATCCCCTTCTTCTATAATATTATGATTATTCTATAATCATAATAATAATCATTATTATTATTATCATCTTAAACGTAAAACTATTTGAAAACTGCTGACCATCACAGCTCCTTTGTTATATTTCGGAAAAGTTACAACTCCCACGTCCACGTGCATTTGTTTACACTGCAGCTTCAAAAATGGCGGAGATCCCCGATGATCTCTGAGCAGGAAAACGAGCACATATACGCCAGGTGTTTTTTGGGTGAATGGCTCCCCCGTGTGGTGGTTTTGTTTTCACAAGAACACGGCCATGCAGTGTAAAAAACAACAACAATGGTTGGGTTTAACAAATGGTACCGTTACATTTAAAAAAACGTATAATCCGTTAAATAATAATGTATTTAAACGTCTCCACCCAAACAGAATGAGCGATTTGTAACTTGTACGTCATTGACATCTAGTGCGTGGTGACGGTATTGCAAGTGGGTATGAAAAAAAAGTCGTATATTAGTTAAATCGTGTTTAAAATGAAAGCACTGTATATTTATTCCCAAAAACATTATTAGACTTACCCCTGCCGCAGGAGGGAGCCCAAGTGCAACTAGTGGTAAACGATATCAAACCAGACTTAGCTGAAGAGCTGAAATGCACAATTCAAAGGAGATTTAATTCTGATGCCCTACAGGCAAAGTTGAGAACTGCAGGTAATCAGTCCAGGTGAGGGTAAATAGCAGCGTGTGGTTATTGCCCATGGGCAAATAACGGTTCTCGCTGTAAAAGTAACCTTAACTGCTCTGAATGTCTCACACTCTCCAGAAGAGGGCAGCATATATTAATTTTTGTATTTATTGTTCCTCTAGGCATTTTTTAATCTGAACCCTTCATTGATTTTTGATTTCTTTTTCACCAAAGATTTAAAATTAACACTGTGTGCGTTCAACGGTTTAAAACATAGATTAAAATGTATTTGATGTCAAGATGGTTTTTAAAGAAAAACATCTTTATTCAACTTGTTGTCAACAGATGTTTTTTTGCCCTTTTTAAAAAATAAAATAAAATGATAAAAGGTTTTGATGATGCAGTTAAACATAAACAGCCTATCATTGATTATGACATCACTGTAATATTGACAACATGCAAATTCCCTGAATTTATGTTAATGATTTTAATCAAATAATATTTCATATTAATATCCACGTGGACTCAGTGAGCTCCCCCGTCTGGCTGGACTCGTTAGCTCCATCTCCACAGCCTTGTTTACAGCCGTCTGTGAATAATCACACACGTCCGGCTGTCGGAGGTCATTCACTGTGTAATGGATATTTATTTGTGTTTAATTGACGACCACTTCTTCTTCGCAGATTTCCGGATTAGATTTGTCAGTTCTCCAGTCACTGCAGCGGTAAACACGTGAAGGTTAATATGGAAGTGATCAGAGATGAGCCGATCTGCAAAGAACTGGCAGCCACGGGATTGGACGGACGGAGCCAAGCGCACTCTGCTGCTCAGCTGGAGGCTCCCGTGGCCTCGTGTAGCCCAGACCCCTCTCTCACCCGGACAGTCGGAGCACGTCCTCCAGCACTGCCTGTAAGAATTATGTCACCGTGTGTAACAGCACAGAAACATGGCAGGGGAAATATAACAGTGATTTCACACTCGGTGTGTGAGTACGACTGACGTCACCCACTACACAACAGAACAGAGGGCTGTGATTTACACCTTGCATTACTGACACTGTTTAATGCCTGTTCAGGTCGACTGAGGTGGACTGTAGTTATTCTAGTGTCTTCACAGCAGTAAAAAAAAAAGTCTGTGAGGCGTTCAGTGACTCACGGGCCTGTTGTTGACCTGTGTGAGTGTCTATTCCAGATTCAAGATTTAGTTTGGAGTTAGGAATACCACTATGGCCAGATTACAGTTGGGATTAGAGTTAAAATAAGGGTTTAGATTTGGCATATATTTGACTAGACTGAGGTGAACTGAAGGTGGATAATCTGTTAGAGTTGAGTAAGGATGTAAAGTCGGTGGAGTGTTATTGTTATGGTGACACGTCTTCTGTCTTTTTGGTCTTTTGAGTTTGAAGATTTAGTTCATCGTACGGATTAGGATTAGGGTTAAGGTTAAAGCTAGGTTTAGGGATGTATTTCTGCATTTTACACTTGTACTGATGATGAGGATTGTCAGTGGACAAACAGAGACACAGTTGGACAGAGTAGAGAGGACAGGGGACAGGCACCTGCAGGTGACACAGGTTTGAAAATGGACATGAGAGGACAAGAAAATATTATGTTCACTCAGGCCATCTCTTGGCTTAGGCAATGTAGGAAGACACCTGGAGCGCCATCTGCTGGAGTAGGGTGTGTATGTGTGGGGGTTAATCTCATCTTGAGTACCAGTTTCACTCATTGTTATCACATCCAGTCATAACTTCAGCTCTTTGATATATAAATAATAAATATGAAATAATGATTTAATTAGGGCTGATGATAAAAATCACCTGATCCAGATGCGTTTATCAAAGGGGGCTCCGTGGCCCACTTTACCAGCAGTGTCCTATAGTTTACATTTGGACCAGAGACTGTGTGTGTCAAACATGGACATGGGTGTTCCCCACTGATGTGATGCCCTCCCTGGGGGCCCCGGCCTAAGGGCCAAACTAAAGCAATATAATCATTTGGTGTTGAGCATCTTGGCATCAGCGGCACACACACAACCGAGGGGAAAAGAGCGAGTGGGGAAGCAGAGAGTCAAGAAAGTGGGAGTGGGAGGTGAGGGAGAGCTCCTTCCACCGGAGCCAGGGTAAGAATTTATGGTCAGGACGAGCGATGAATGTGTAATTTATGGAGCATACTCTACCATTCCCCCTGCCCTCCCCTCTGGTAATGAGAAACAGCTGTTTAGTTGTACGGCCAGGACATGGTATACCCCCCTACCCCCCCTCCCTCTGGCTATGACACACCATTAGTTTTTATTTCTGTCTCTGCTTTTATGACCCCTGCCCAGGCGCCAGGATTTGGCTGCTGATCGGAATCATGACACCATCGGAGCTGGTCCACCTCCCATGATGCCTCTTGGAGTCTGCAGGGAGACCCTAGCATTAACGCAGAAGGTACCGTTCAAGTCTGAAAGTGATGGTGTCTGTTTATCTGGAGGTAAAGAAACAATCGGGTCAACACGCTGGTTTGGTCAATTACAGGTGGTTCAGAATGGGTGGAGTCATCATCAGTGACACTGTGATGACATCACACTGTCGTCACAGACCTTTCAGGTTTTAAGGGAGGTCGACCAGTTTGATTTGATTACAGAAATTATTTTCAGGACCACCAGTTTGTTGGCAGGACTTAACGGCTCTGTACAATTTTTTGTCCGATACCAATACTACAACTTTGAGCATCTGTCGATACCGATATTTATCCGATACCTTAGTTTCTTCGTTCAGCGTACCATGGGCTGACATTGCTAAGGCCACGGTATCCCCGCTCACGAGATGACACGCAAGTTAAGTTGATCATTTGGGCTTGGGTATCAAATCGGACAGGCTTTAGTCGTTTAATATTTTAATGTTCGATCATTAACTTTTGCTCAATATTAGACCGATCCTGGGTATTCCTAACTTGAACAAAGTCTGGTTTGCTGAATATTCCCCCTTTTAAAAGTGGGCTAATGTGTGGGCAGCTCCAACCATAATCAATGAGATAAAAAGACAAAGTCTGGGATGAATGAAGTACCGTCAGCTTGGTCTGCGCTTTATTTAGACTTTCACTGAAGAAGGTATACATGATGATACTAGTATTTCTCTCGGTTGATGATAAACAGTGTGACATATTTACGATCACAATCCATAGTATGAAGAATAACGTAGCAGATGACAGGTCTGCCTTCAGACCCGCAGGGTTCGCCACAGACAGGCAGAAAGGAAACACGTCTGCAGTGGCGTTGCTGCGGTGACAGCTGTCAGGATATAGGTGTGTATGATGACGGCGACGGTTCTGAATGATGAGCAGTAGAAAACATTACAGTTGTGCAAAAATCTTCAGACCCTGCGGCAGACGTGTACATGGTTACAGAGCAGCTGATGATTCCATGGCTTATATAATACTCTGTGGCTGGCTGGTTACTGCATGATGGGATATGACTGTGCACATCTGTGCTCTTAACGTTCAGACCTTAGTTATGTTATTGTATGTATGAGACCCATATTAGCACATATATGCGAGCATTAGCGCAACGTTCAGGCAAGAATGTTGAGTTGACAAGAAAAGTGATTCCCAGAAGAAACACATGAAAGACAACAGGCAGTGGGCAGAGACGCACACACGCACATCCGCGCGCGCGTGAGTGGGCAGAGACGCACACACGCACATCCACGCGCGCGCACACGGTGGCATGCACAATGGCACGCACTTGTAACCTTGTACCATGCAAATATTTGTCTTATTTTTAATTCCTTGTTGCTGTGCTGAGCTATTTTCCGATACATGAACATCACATCCAAATCAACAAAGATATCAAATGGCAAAGTCTGTTTCAGGACAAACATGAAGGACAAGAGCATGAGTTGAACTTGCAGTAATCCGCGCCCTCCTCAGGCTGATTTTGTAGTCGACCCCTCATCAAAAACCCTTCTGTCTTCGCCAACCCCCAAATGATATCCAGTGCCTTTTAGATTCTTCTTAAAAATCCTCTTTTGTTCTCTTGCCTTTTTTTTCACAGTCAGTAGCTGTTAGAAAAAAATCTATCTGCCGCCTTAAAACAACACCAGAACAAACTCAGAACACGTTGTGATTAAAACACGATCGAAACGCAACGACACAACAAACCAGAGCGGCGTGAAGAGGTCCAGCATTTTCATTAGGGCTTCCAGCTTTGGTTCTGCCTTAAACTTCTCCAGTTCACCAAAAGAACCACAATCAGCACTGTGGCTTCGCCTCTCCAACAGTGATCCCTCACAATTGGATGAAAAATGTCTTCCAGAATACCACGGAGAAAAGTCTTTTCAGGGTCGAGTTTGTTGATTCATTGAGCTCACTTCAAGCCATCCTTCAGTCTTTTGTTTCCTTGTTTACAACTCATAGCAGCAGTTATCCGTTCCTTCACCTCATTTCTGGCACCGCCGGGCAAGGCCGCCATCTGTGTGTGCGCCTTAGCCTCAGCCTCACCGGGCCAGTGCTGGACTTTAGGTGACGGAGCTGGTTGTGATGCCAGCAACAGTTGTCGTTCTGCTTTGGCCTTTCCTCCTTTTCCCACCGCCAGTTCCTCCACCTCGACCGCCGTCTTTCCCTTGTCGTCCTCGCCCTCGGGTGTTGTCCCTCTGTCTCTGGTTTGACTCGTCAGACTGGTCGCCTTTATTCTTTCTTTCTGAAACAAAAGAGGATTAAAGAAATCTCAGGTGAAACAGTAGTTAAAATAAAAAATATTGTTTTCTTCAGTCCAAAATCCACTCATTATTAACATCTAATTGTAAACTGGATGTGGAGGTGTATGCGTGCCAGAAGGAGCCCACAGGCCAGGAGTTTGGCACCCCTGGTGTAGTGAGATTGTCTTGTTCGAAGGGCAACCATTAATAAATGAATAGTCCTGGGTGTGTTTACATTTTGTTTCACTCTGTAAAGAAGTGTTACATGTTATACTGACGACACCCTGATGTCTGTTTACATTTGTCAAGACAGTTGGACCAAAGATAGTTTGACGACACTATTATCAGCTCATACATGAAGAGTTGAATATATTGCCCGGGCCCCAGAGAGGAAGTGAACATGTGTCGCTAATATCCAGGCAGCACTTACAGTAAAAGTTTTGTGTTTTTTTTTTTGTTTGTAATATTTGTTGGAGTACAGTTACACTGCAGGATGTTTGTTATGTACTCGTGTGATGAGAACGTCTGTGCATCTCAGAAACTCAGTGAACATGTGCCAACGGCTGGACAGTGTTCACCGTGCAGCTGACAACCGCAAGGCTTATGGCGCCACCATGTTTGTCTACGGCCATGCGGTAATAAGGTCTGTGTTTATTTCCCCAAAAATCTTCTTTAAACATGTCGTACAAACAGTTATGATTTCTTGGCTTAAATGAAAATCTACTAAAAAGACCAATGTTTCTCAAATTTCACCCAAAACAATTTTTCTGCGCAGGCAGTAAAAACCATTAACTGTCGGTAACGTGCATTTGATGTAGCCGAGTATGAAGTGACCTAAAACCCAAACATTTGTTCACCACAGGTTTGTGCAGAGTTCCAGGTCTTGTTATGGTGACTAAACACTCCCAAGCTCAGACTCACCCCACGCAGTCAAGTACAAGTCTACAGGACCATAAAATCACAACAAGATCCCACAAATTTGATGTTTACAATTAGAACTTTTTAAATGGACTTGTTGAAATAATCTCTGATTTGGTTAATATTCAAACAATAAACTAATCCTGACCAGTAAAAGTTAAGATTCAATCAGTAAAAGATCCTGACAAAAGTAAAGGTCCTTCACACACAGCATATAGGGGGTAGAGGCCGGGGGGAGGCAGGACGGGGGGCTGTTGATAAAAAGATTGTGCTACTGATTGGACGATTTCCGGTTTGAGTCCAAACCCTGACATGACTACTGTTTGTAAAGGAAGCAGCGAGAACGTCTTGGCTCTCCTGGTACAGTAGAGTGCAGCCCACTGCTGCAGGAGAATATTGTTCAGATTAAACCTCAGAGGTGTTGCACACCTCTTTAGTAATTCAGATGGTAATTCAGTTAATTTCCTATGTGTACTTTTGGTTGGAGTTTAGCTGAAAAAAATGAAAGATTCCTGGGACTTAGTTGCTAATTTCCGCATTACGTCAATGTATCGTGGTGGTCGACAGGAAGTATCTGCTTGAGCGTAATGTAACTTGTCCAAATTGTAGTTGTAAAACTACTGCTTTAGGGTTAGCCCGAAGCAGCCTGATAATTTACGTAGCGGGACAGACTTACTTTCGGTAATTCTATGTCTGAAAAACACAGTTGTCCTGTTGTTAGCCTCTTTGAACTGGGCAAGTGTCGTTTTTATTTTGTAAATTCCTCTGGGCTTTGGCAATGACATTCGTTCTTCTTACACACCCACCGTTGGACCACATTAAAAACCTTTATGATGTCAACAGTGAAACAATTTTACCATCCGATCATTTTCAATGATTCAGCACTTAACTGCGTAACAACTGTGCCGAGTCGCTGTATGATTTGCGCCCGTTGCCATAGCAGTTAGCATTTCCTAGGTGGTCTATAAAATATACCCGGTTCTTTAGGGCCAGCGGAGCTCTCTTATTAAAGTAAACTGTCACACTCGGTCTGCTAAGAAAACACGTCCCATTAGGTCATTTCAACACATCGTTTGAGACATAACCGCTGATCCATGTGGCACAACATGAAGTCATGTTCTGTCCTCAGGACTCCGAGCCCTCAGGGATTCCTCTAAGAGGAGAGAAGAGCCTCGGACTATGCAAAATTCCTCTGTGTTTATTCACAAATATCGCGGCCTGTCATCTGTTACACGTTACAAATAATGAACAGAGGCCAAGACTGTGCAAATATTGTTACACAACACTGCTGCTGTGCCCAAAATCCCCTGAGCGTGTCACCAAGCAATAAAGGCTCTGAATGCTGCTCCTTGGCTACAGAACTGTGGCCCTGGTAAATAAGTGTTTCCAACTCCAGTGAAAGTTGGTACATCAGAACGCAGAACTGATTTAACGTTTGGTGGCAGTCGGGAATCAGGGAATGTGCTCAAGGAAAACATCTCATTATTTTATGACGATTTGTAATCAACACAATATTAAAATGAATGGCTGAGTTATTGTCAGGAATCAAATTTGAATTAGATTTGATTACAGTGGATGCAGTGGAGTTTTGCAACACCACTTATTTTCATTGCGTCAGTTTTTTTTTCTAATTTTCTTGAGGCTTGTTGATCATGTCAGCCCTTAAAGAATAACAGGAATATACAGTACCTAAAAACATAGTAAATACGTAGAACAGAATATACATTTCTAAATGTACAGTCTGAAGTTTGTAGAAGTTTTTTTAGCTGGCTCTTAATTGGTAGTAAACCAGTGAAAAATGACTTTTTTGAGTTGGTACCTTTACATATAATAGTCAGATCTGTAACCAGCCTCAGGTCAAAGGTCATATTTGAATTGACTTTTAGGAGTTAATAATCCTTACATGTGCATTACAAGTGCGCTTGCACTTTTTTCACCATCTAACTCCCACTTGGCCAGATGTGTGATTCTTTGGCAGCAAGCAACAGCTTGTTTTGAAGGCCAGTCGTGGTCACTGACTGCCGCGGCTGCCTGTTAACCAGCATCAAACTGCTGTGCAGGTGATAAGAGCCCAAGCAAACATGTCACGGCCGTGTAAATTCCACGCTCCAGCAGCCGTCGGAAACAAATAGTCGCGCGATCTCACTCTGATCCCCGTCCAGCTCCTGACTGCGTAATGCCCTTCATCTGCTTGGCCCGCAGACTCAGGTTTATTGTTTACATGCTGAGAAGTCAAGAGGTTTTGTATCCCTCTGTGGGAGCAGCCAAACCAAACCCAATCAATGCATCATGGGTCACAAACACGCTGGCCGGAATGCAGGCCTTTGCCGGAGTTGAGTAACAGTTGTATTTGTCATCGTTTTAACCGGGGGAAGTATTTAACGAATCACCGGGATTTTTACTGCCTCAATATCCGATCTCAGTTACTTCGGCCTTTTGTTACTTGAAGGAGAGGTTTTTTTCCTGCTTTTATGTAAATCATTTAAATTTACATTTCTTGATGACTAAATGAGGAACAACTGAAAGACTCTTCATAGGCATTTCTCCATTAGCATTGTATCAAGAGGCCAGTTTCTGTGTCTTTATCTTTAAATGGTAATGAGCCATGTGCTCCGCCCACTTCTCATCCACGGTTGAGCAGTAAGAGAGAAATGTCTGTCGCCAACAAACTGTGCTCCAACCGCTGGTTACGGCCAGCACTGTGCCTTTAAGAGTTTACTGTTACAGTGCATTAGCGTCGACAACCTGCGCTACAGTACGGAAACGTTAGTGCTGTAAAGATCAAACAGAAAAAGAAGAAGCGCCGGTAGGAAGAATTGACGAATGATCCCATTTCACCAAAGTTGAACAGCCTCAACGACTGTCGCCCCCTGGTGTTCATTTAACACTACAGCATAGTGATCCAACAGTAGCGTAAATGGAGAATCTGTGCACAGATAGGCGTGGTAGTACAGGTAGAACTCCCTGGGTGAGGCAGGGTTATTGTAATAACTTCCAGAGACACGAACCAATGTGTCCAAAAACACGACAAGGTCGGTCAACGTTGTCCTCTTAAGGTGTCCTGAGTGTGCGGTGTGTTTACCTTTGCTACAGGGTATCCTTGTCACAACACATTTCCTTCTCTCTGTCTGTGGCGCACAGGCCTGTGAGGGCACAAAGGACAGGGAGGTGTCAGAGGTGGAGAGCTGCGAACGAAGCCGAGACTGTGATCCTTTTTTAAATCCACACGTTTTGTTCTTCTTCATACAAGAACTCCACTGGCTCCACTCGCCCAATTCACAGTCTGAAGCACGCTGACCTGAGGGGGGGAAACAAAACAAACAAAAAAAAAGGTGACAATGTAGCCAGTGAATGGTTTACAGCTCCAACGTCTCACATTTGTTTCACAGCCACCCTGTCTGCTTCCTAACCGCCCAGTAGTTACAGCCCAGGATAATGAGTCGAGGTGATTTTTCAAATCTGAAAACAATCTTTTCTTTGGACAAGACCAAGCTCAGAACAGGGGACTGGGGGGGTTACCTGTGCTACTATACCTGAAGGTCACATGTAGGAGCTCTTCAGAAAAGCAGGGTCACAATGAAGCCACAGCATATGATGCAAGAAAAGGCAAGAAAGGCCAAATCCCCATGTCTGGGCCGAGCTACGCCAAGCTTGGAGAGCTTCGCACTTTAGTGTTTATGGTTTTGTTACGAACTTATGACAGAATTATTCTCAGCAGTGTTAGAACCACAAAAATACAGCCCAAGTGAGTGTTCACTTTTCTTATGTCCAGGCCAACAACTGATCCTATCTGGCTTCCACAGTTCAGGCAGTAACCAAACAGACTGGCTGTGTTCACATCACGCTAGTGAACAGCAGCAGTTGAAGTTTACTCACCAACACACTCCATGGTCTCATTGCTGGTGCGCAGGCTCGGGGGGCAGCTTACATAACATCGTCCGCTGTGCGAATACAAGCCCTCCTTACATTTTGTGCAAAAATTGCGATTGAAACATGCTTCACAGTTGTCTATTTTACATTCTGGAAGACAAGAGGGAGACACAAACAGAGGCTGTTCAGAACAGGGGGGGTTTTACCAAAGGAACTTAGTTCTAGACATATGGGTTCCTCAAAACCTCTGTACACAACATAACAGCCAAGTGTTTCATAGAATAATTGGAGAACCAACATTAAACATGACATTTTTAAACCTTGGTCCCATCATTAGAAAAAACAGTTCTGACAGGACTGGGTTTGCAATTTGGCTTGTGATTGGAGGCTTGCCGGTTTAAATCCTAGACTGTCATGGCTTGGTTAGAGAAGAGGTTCTCAACCACTGGGCCCCTGACTGGTACCAGACCATGGTTTTTGGTCATTTGGGCTCCAGAGAAAAATCTTGATTGTCAGTGTGGATGATGTTTTATGTTGAAAATGACAAATTGATAAATTTTCTCCTAGTGTTGACTCTTGACCCATGTGATGAGTCTTTTCAAATTAAAAGTCTTTATAGAGCATCTTTAAAAAGAGGAAACAGAAGAGCAGCTTCAAAGTAAAGTTTCGTTCACAGTCCACCACAGCTGACTCTCCCCTGACATGTGCTTTTCAGAGTTTTTACTTTAACCTTCTTCTCATTTGTGTCATCATTGGTCACCAATTGTATTTCATATTTTTTTGAGAACAAGAATATTGTCTTAAACCAGTTCTTGGTTTGGGACATCTGCTCAGGAAGAAATATTTGCCAGTGTAACATAGACCCAGTAGGTGGCAGTAATGCAATTCCCAAGATTTATGAAAGTATCTCTGTAAGTAAACTGTGTGTTTTAAGCTTGCTCAGTGTTGACAAACATGAATCATTATGATTATCTGTATCATGATATGTATGCTAACAGCAGATTACACACCCCTATGGGCTTGTGACTAAAAGGTTGTCAGTATAAATCCCTTGTACTGACATCCCTTGACTTGTGAGTCTTGAGCAATCACCGATAACTCCCTTGGGCATAATTTGTTGCAGTACTGCTGCAAACTTCTTCTGAAGGAAGAAGTGTGACGAAAACAAAGGACGACCTCGTATGTTAGTATTTTCGGGAGCATTGATCTCATCTAGATGTTACTGCTGAAGTGAATAAAGTTCA